GACGTGAGTGCAGCAGTCATATTTGTTCGTCTAAATAATGCGCTGAATATGCATTTGTGTGAATGGCTTGGTTTCGGTTTTAACTTAATCAAGATCTTCTCCACATTGAGCTTCTATATTTCTCTAATATTTTGAATGAATAACACAGCAGTGGCGCATCTCATGGGCAAGACTAACAAAACATTAAAATGCAACAACGTCACTTACATCATCACCGCATCTCGCGCGCCACTGATGACGCTCCCTGACGCACTCCTAACATTCAAATGCAATTGTTTATTTTAAATTCGACTAATATTCATTCTTTATTCACAGTCACCTCATCACAGGCAGGCACAGCACTCATTTCAGCATGTGTTCGTGTTTGTGTGTGTTGTCTGCGTCACTCATAGCACGTGCCTATATAGTGCGCCATATCGAAAAAATTTTCTATCGTTATCGAAGAAGGTGTACCGTCGATAAATATCGATACCGTTTTATCGCCCAGGCCTAGTAGAGTCTTTACATAATACATGTGTTAATTAAATCTATCTATCTATAGATAGATAAATATAATTAACACATGAAGACTAATTAATTTACACAATGTAGCGTTTCTTATTTATTGTAGTTATTTTGTCCTATTGCTTGCAATTAGTTTCTTATCCTCATTTCATCACTGACTGTTTATTTATCTTCAGTGAGCTTGAGGTTTTTTTTTTGTCTCTTAGGCTTGAATTAGTTTGATATTGACATTGGTAACAAGGATTATGAAAAGTCTATGGTATCAAAGATTTTAATATCATAAAAACCTTTTTAAAAGAAAAAAACTATATCGTGGTCTATATCGTTATTGTGATATAAAATTACTCATATCGTGATATAAGATTTTAGTCATATCGCCCACCCCTATTAGGCCTATAGCATGGTGTATTTTTATTCAGTTTGTTAACAAAAGTTCTATGTTTAATATAAGTGAGTTTGTCATTGAACCATTTTGTTGTTGTCTATTCCATAGATATGTATAGTTAGAAGCCCTATTAGCAGCTGTTTCTATGGGCCGCTGTAACTAAGCAAAATAGGTAATCTGCAAAATGTTAATTATTTAATCAAATATGAGGGATCATACAAAATGCATGTTATTTTTTATTTAGTACTGACCTGAATAAGATATTTCACATAAAAGACATTTACATATATTCCACAAGAGAAAATAATTGACCCCGTTCAAAAGTTTACATACGCTTGATTCTTAATACTGTGTTGTTACCTGGATGATCCACAGCTGTGTTTTTTTTTTTGTGATGGTTGTTCATGAGTCCCTTGTTTGTCCTGAACAGTTAAACTGCACTATTTGAACCCTTTCCAACAATGACTGTATGATTTTGAGATCCATCTTTTCATACCGACAACTGAGGGACTCATATGCAACTATTACAGAAGGTGCAAACGCTCACTGATGCTCCAGAAGGAAAAACAATGCATTAAGAGCCAGAGGTGTAAACTTTTGAAGAGAATGAAGATGTTTCCCAGAAGACAAAATAAGCTAAATTTAAACTGATCTTCAAATTCAAAAAGTGTTCACCCCCCGGCTCTTAATGCATTGTGTTTCCTTCTGAAGTATCAGTGAGCGTATGAACTACTATCACAAAAAAAAACACACAGCTGTGGATCATCCAGGTAACACCACAGTATTAAGAATCAAGCGTTTGTAAACTTAGGTGAACAGGGTTATTTTTATAAATTCCACTATTATTTTCTCTTGTGGACTATATGTAAACGTCTTTTATGTGAAATATCTTATTCAGGTCAGTACTAAATAAAAAATAACATGCACTTTATATGATCCCTCATATTTTGGTAAAATAATTAACATTTTGCAAATCCTGCAAGGTGTATGTACATTTTTTACCTCAGCTATACAGACTTTTCCAAGATGGCGGACATGTCGACGTGTCTGGAGCGGTCAAATGTGGAATCTACCTATACATATCTATGGTCCATTCAAGTAATTGATGCCAAATTGTCAGTAATTTGAAAGTGAAAGTAAAATGCGCACAGCGAAGGAAAGCGAGGGAAAGAAGGAAAACCCCAATGAACCCCACCCCCAGAGATACCGGTATTATATTTCCTCACTGTCACAACCCTAGACTACATTAATAATTTTTGTTGAAATAACTGGGTAGTAGATCTGTAGTTCCCATTATACTTTACATGGAAATGCATCAGGAGAGTAAATGTTGAAATGTACTTATGTTTTTCAAAGACTTTCTCTTTACTGAATGTGATACTGAATGTGTTTAACATGCTAACAACTAATAGCTGTACAGACCTAAACTAATTGCCGTGGAAAAGTTTTCCTTAATTTAAGTTAATTAAACTTTTTTTAGTGTACTGTGTTAGCGGTTAAATTTCTAAACCAGCCATGAATTATTTGTGAATTGGAAAGAAGATCAGATACAGACTCACGGGTTAGGTGGGTTTATGTAATGAATGGCAACTCGTCCCTCGATACTGCCCAGTGCAAAACCAGTAGGTTTACTCTGCTTGTCCTTAAAGATAGCCACACAGCGGTGCTGTTAAAACAAAACACACAAGTTAAAATACACCTCAATAGTCAACAACAATATCTGCAGAGAAGAAAAATTTAAATAATGGTGAAAATGGGCTACGTATCAACACAAAAAAAACAGGGTTGGGCAACTACGGAGATGTTAGCAAACTAAATGTTCAGTGCAGGTGAGTAATGATTCACTCATTTTCAATGAGAAAATCACTTAAAATTCCTGCCAATTCATACAAAACTATTTAAAAGTGATATTTTTTTTCATGAGTTTGTGTTGCCTATTAATCTATTCACAATAATGATAAATACTGAATTAATCGTAATTTAAGTAGTGTATAACAGACAAAAACAAATATATTAATTTTAAATTTGCCTTTGCTTAAAGAATTTCTGGCTTGCCAAAAATCAATGAAATGAGATCCTCCATTAAAAAAATTACAATAGTTTGACTACAAAAAGAACGATTACTAAATGACAGACTTAAAATAAAAATATAGCTTTCAGGATTTAAAGTTTTGTGCATTTGTGCAATTTCACATACATAGTGAGTTCTTCTATTTAATAAATTTTATCTAATAAATATATATATATTATAATCACTGGTAAAATTAAGCATTCCTACACTGGTCATGAGTAATCCCCCTTTTTTATATATATATATAT